GTTCCCTGGGGCTTTGGCCAGTCTAGTTTTTAAACCTTACATTTCCCACACAAGAAAAGGACCCACTTTCTACTCGCTTCAGAATTACAGGACACGTGAGCACATCATCACGATATCCCAACAGAGCAGCAGACTGTGGGAACCTTCAACACCTCCATTTGGGCTGATCAAAAATTTTTTTTGTCTTAAAAGCTGTATATCAAAAACTCCTCAAAACTGCCAAAACTGGAGTGTCTGTGCAAAGACCGCTGTCTGGCATGATTTACAGCAAAGGTAGCATAGGATTCTGCAGGTCCATTCTGGTACGGGCCAGCCTGTGGTACGCAGCAAGCTTCCACAGCAAGCCAGTGATGCTGGCCTCCGCTGTTGTACCATGCCCAGCAATTCCTCCACAGCTTCTGAAGAACTTTATGGTTGTTTATAGCAGTGTACTTAAAAAAAAAAACCCTAACAACCCCACCACCACCAAGTCTTTAAAGGTGTCATGGCAACTAAGCGCCAGCATCTCGCTCATTCCCCACCCCCTTGTGGGTTGAGATAAGAACAGTTTAATAACTTAAATAAGATAATAATAGTGATAGTGATAATAGTAATAATAATAGTAATGAAAAGGAAAATAACAGGGAGAGGAAAGTAAAACACAAGTGATGCAAATGAAAACAATTGCTCACCACCAACCAACCCATGCCCAGCCAGTCCCTGAGCACCGGCCCCCCGGCCAACCTTCCCCCAGCTTCATATGCTGAGCATGACATCACATAGTATGGAATATCCCTTTGGTCAGCTGGGGTCAGCTGTCCTGGCTGTGTCTCCTCACAAATTCTTGTACTTACTGGTGGGGTGGTGCAAGAAAAGGCCTTGGCTCTGCGTAAGCACTGCTCAGCAATAACAAGAACACCCTGAACTATCAACACTGTTTTCAGCCCAAATCCAAAACATAGCCCCACACTAGCTACTTTGAAGAAAAGTAATTCTATGCCAGTCAAAAACAGCACAAAAGGCAACCAGCTTTTCACTTGATTATTTTCTTCTTAAACTCACATGTGTTTTCCTATTAACAGGCAATAACGTCTTTATGATAAAAGAGACTTTTTGATTTACTGGTCCACAATAAAACACAAAATGCTTTATTTGTGTAAATTGATGGCTGATTGGATCTCCTTCCTTTGTAAGAACCCTGTTGAACATTTTCCATGTTGTGCAACTATTTGAGAGACTGCATGGTGGAATGAGTGCTTCAGGAGGTAATAGGAATTTGTATTCTGTTGCACAACTGTATTCAACTCTAATAGACTCCAGCTGTGGTCTGAGAAGTGGTGTAGCTAATAGCTATTTCTGTAGTTTTAAGTATGAGTAGTTAACAATTCAAAACTCTTGCTACTTTTACTCTTCATAAAAATAGAGAAGTGCAGTTTCTTTGAACATTAAGTTGCTAGAATAAGTTTTTGAGTGACAAGCCCCAGTACTACATAATCACTTAGAGAACTAAGTTTTCAAGGTCAATGAAGGTATGGATTTGGAATAGCCATAAAAACAGCATTAACAAATTGAACACAACTTTTTTTTTCCGACATCTCGCAAAATAAGATATTGAACAAAGCCTCAAATTCAGTTCTTTGCACTGATGCAAGTTAGAACAAGATACTCTTTTGACTTACAACCATATCTGTGCGATCAGCTCATCTTCTAAGTGTGATACAAGTTCTGAAAGGAGATAGAATTATGGAAGTTCTGCTTATGTGAAAAAGGGCAAGGTCATCAAGATGTTTGGTACATCAGGAGATCAAACCATGTCAGACTCAGGCTACTTTTTAATTTGTTTATTGCACACTTCAAAAGGCAAAATCATATGACATTGTCTTCCATATTAATAGAAATGAGACACTTAACTGATACTATCCCAAAGATCTAAGGCGCAATACAATGCTGAGATGTGTAATAAGGTGTAAAGTAGATTTCCTCTGCCCTCACTGGGCACCATGTAGCATAAATGTACAGAGATATCATGAACTCCGCATGGGTTCAGTGAGTTAAGGTGCAACCCTCAATACATACATAGAACAGTATTTTGAGGGTAAAACACCTCTCATGGACAGCCATACTTCTGCAAATATAGCAAGTTCAACAAATGATAGGAAACATCTGCTGAGAGTTGGCAGAAGAAAAATACAAACTGCATTTCATCACAGAAGAACCTTTAACAGGTTAACAGCACCCTTCCCCATGGTAAAATCTGGTATCCCTATCTCATTCCAGGCTGGTATACATTTAACACATTTTTTTTCCGTAGTTTCTTCCTGAAGGAACATAGAGCCATATTGTGTCTTTGTCATCAGGCAGCGTTTTATCTAACTGGAGACTGCACTGAAGTCTAGAAACGCTGTGCTGTTGTTCGTAGCTCACTAGAATACTCTTTTGTGCCTTATATTTATCAATGAATATCCCAAAAGACAGGCAGCTTTCTACAAGTGCCTAGAAGCAAATCAGTCTAGCACCCTGCAGGTTACTATACACATGACAGTAGCCTTTGTTAGCATAATGTATTAGAATCCATGATGTACTGGGTCTCTGAGGCTTAGTAATCCCTGTCAGCAACCAGAATAAATGGAAATAGCTTCCAGGAGATGCAGAGCCTATGAAAAGACTGTTAGTTTTCAAGAACTACTAGCATTCAAACTGACACATGCAGCATCTGAAACAAAAATCTCATGAACAGTTTCTCATCACAGTCATTTGTGAAAGTCAAATGCATGAAGTGTGCTTCAGAAAAGAGATTAAAGAGAAGTTAGACGGAGCACTACCAGTTTGATACTTGCCCTGCTGAAACAAAGATTTGGTGCATTTTCTCAGGCTTGTTGACAGCAGAAGTTTTTAATGTGTAACTTTTTAATATGCCTAGACACTAAATTGGCTAGCTGAGAATAGCAAAGTCCCACGTGAAAGTAGGCACGCCTGCTTATGGAGAGCACCTAAGCCACAAGTGAGAGGGTTTTTTTGACTTTTTTAATGCATAACTGGATTGGAGGGAAAAAAAAATATCACTACTATTAGATATTTTGCATGCACAACATAATGCTGCGTGGGATGAAGGCGCACCAGTTACTGAACCCCTGAAGCCCTAACTCAGCCTGACTGAAGCCAGCAGCTCAGAGCATGCAGCTGGGGAAGGGCTTCTCTTACTCTGCACTTGCCCTGCTCTTTGTGCCCTTTCCTTACGCAGCCCCCAGTGACCTTCAACAGGGTACTTTGATCTGATCTAGTACAGCCGTACTGATTTCTTACGCTGCCGTAAGTTACTGACATATTTAACAAAGTCTTTCAAATTTTCCTCCTGTAGAGCAGTTAGAGGCATGTTACCCAACAGCGCAACCCTTCAGATCAGCGCAAATGATTAAAACACTTTCAGAAATACTTAGGCTACTGTTTGTTTATACAGAGATACCACCACCATAATAAATACTACTGTCTTTACTCAGCCCTGCATATTTTCTGTAGCGTTCCACTCCCCTGTTTACATCTTCATTTTTTCCTGTGTTTTTAAAATGCTCATCACTGCTCAGTTGAAGTTCTGTTTAAATGATCAAAGGCTTTAACAAAACTATCCTTTAATATTATGCTGTGCTCATACCATAAGATAACAGAAGATCAAGTCAATTTTGTTGCTAGAGTTCCACAAGCAAAATCCTTACTCCCAAAGCATTAAAATGCTTCAGCCTCAGCAGACTTGCCGGGTACAGTATTCATTACTGTATATAGCCATTGCAGCCCGAAGCTGCAGGGCCATTAGGCGTGCACATTGCCAGCCTATGCTGGAGCATTTACTGTTTCATCTTCACCCCTTGGTTACATTAAATGAAGGTATAACTGTAACCCTACCCAAGCCTATTTATTCTGTTTTTAACCTTGCAGACAGATGCAGAAAGACATAAGGGGGAGGTGGAAACAAACAGTGTTTAACTAAAAGAAAGATAGGAGATATACTATAGGTAAATCTATTTCCTAAAACCTTTCCTGGTCCAAACCCCAAGAAGTTACCACTGCTTACTCCAGTAGCTCCCACTTCTAATTTGTGAGCCATGCTCTCCATTTCACTGGACTACTTGCATCATTTCATCTGTTACCATCTTCTCCGGTCTCCTTTCTGATCAGCCTTCACCCTTTACCAAGGTAACCACAAACATCACACAGACCACTCAGCATCACAAAAAGCTAAGACTTCATCCTATTTTCAATATACCTCATCTGTAATAAAATCAGTAGCTGAAATACCTTCCCTCCATCGCACCTTTAGTGTTTTCCTGAAGTAGAGTCTAGTTTTTTCCACCACATTTTGAATTTGTCTTTGAAATAATATGGAGACTTCCCAAGTTACAAGTGCTCGAGAAGTTAAATTGCAGAGGGCTTGCATGATGCAAAGCATTAATTTCTTTTCCTGAGGCTTTGTCCCCTGCGGGCAATGAGAATGTCATCTGCTCATAAGATGGCAGAGAGGAATCTCTTTGCAAAATGAAACTAGTTTGTTATCAATATTGCAACCAAAAGATAGAAGCATGCTGAGACAGAAATAGAAGATCCTTCTGGCTGCCATGCCTCACCTCCTCAACCTGCTTATTCCAGAGCTCAGCAATCACTGCTGCCTTTACCCACCAGCTGCTGTGCAAGCAGTGCTCTTTGAAGCCATTTATCAGCACTGACTCTGTTGATGGGGGATGGCAGCGAATGGGGAAGACTGCAGTCTGCAACAGCTGAGGAGGAATGACTGCATACCACCTGGGTGTAAGTCATTACCTCTGATTTGCAAACTGACCTTCCTCCTGTAGGAGCTGAATGGAGATTGAGTTTGTTCTTAATAAGGCCAGAAACAAACTTTAACTTCAAAGAGAACAGGATTGAGAGCAATGTTTTTTGTCGCTTATTTGCCTGCCTGTCTAACCATGTTAGAATATTCTTTGCTCTATTTGCCTTTTGCTAGCAGTGGGCAGGCTTTGCTGTTAGCGTACATGTATGGAATCTTGCAGCAGCAGTACTGCTCGGTAGGATGCTAATGGCATTGTGCAGTACAAGCAGCAAAAAGGTCTTTGCAAGTTATAACTGAAGAGTGGAAATCTTTACATCTTATTTTGTTTACTGGACTTTGAAGAAAGACTTGACAAAATATTCCCTGTATGGTTGCTTTAACAGGTCATTTGCAGTAAGAGTACAAATCCCTGCAATCTGCCTAATGGTGTCTGCAACAATGAAAGAATTTGCTCTTGTCACTGGACAGTTAGTTACTTTTTAATAACTGGATTCTCAACCATACAACCTCCTCTGCTCTAGTTTGTCCCCTCTGCTTCAGTTGTACCCTGTACAAGTTGTTTGGCAGAGAGAGAGAAGTGCTGGCTAAAGCAGAAAAAACTCCATGCTCAGTTCCTTTGTCTTCCGCTCTTACCTTTCTCAACTTACTATTGTCTGTACAGGAGATGGAGGTAGATAGATACACCGCAAGACAGCATCAAATTAGTCAAGTAAAACACTCAACTGTGAAAAATAAATAGTGGTTCCTACCCTAAGAAGTGAAAGAGAAAACTGAAATGAGCCCTTCTGCAGGGAAGTGAACTCTTTTGTTCACAGCACAGGCTGTCAGAACCTCCCACAGGCCACTCAGTCACAGACCTTGGGAAACTTCTGAGGCTAAACAGGGAGGACAATCTCTGGCACACAACCAAACAAGAGTGAAATCCCAGCTGTCTTGGAGGTAGTAGGACTTCAAAGACTAGCTTTAAAAGCCATCTGAACAGGTAGGGATGTGACAACTGAATAGTAAGAGAAGAGCTAGATAATATGATGCTAGCTTGTAGGCTAAATTACAAGACAGTGGTTATAGAGTCTAACAGAGCCATCAGATTGTACACACAATTATGCACACTGTACAGCCAGTGTGCATAATTTACCTGGTACACTGGTTTGTAACTTCAGAGGAGCTCCAGAGCATTTAAGGTCCCAAGTTTTGCCCCATTCAGTCAGCTCGCTTCCTTAACATCTGCTTTACTGTGAGAATAACAGGAGAGAATCACTTTTTAAATCACAAAACCAAGTTAAATAACAAAGTAGTTATACTTGAAAGGAGGTCTGGTACCCCTTCTTACAGGAAAAGCCTGTAAGGGCTGTGAGCACCGTTCTTCGGTCAGTGCCTTGAACCGAAGCTGGAGCTGCAAGCTGCCAAGAGTCCCCTCAGCCCGGACTGAAGACCTGCCTCAGGACCGACCAAAAAATTAAACAAGCATGTGCTACTGCTGTACCATTTGTTGTGGGATTTTTATGGAAGTTTTCCTTTCCTGTATGGACTAAACAGCATACTTCAAAAAAATAAGACTTGGTGGATTTGTGGCCTGAGGGCACCATGTCTGCAGAACTATGCTGAACACCTTTGCCTTGGTGTCAGGCATATTACATACCAACAGTACTAGTATCAGCAGCGCATTTGAACCTCTAATCTTACATTTACATCCGATCTCTGAGTCTTGGAGTACTTCATATCTTTAGTCATCACAACATTTGATAATATGTAGGAATATGGATGTCTTAACCAGAACAAGTACTGTAAAAATCAAGTTCCTTATTGTTTTTGCAACAATCAGATCATTCAAGTACAACCATTTACAAGCACTATAAAAATGCCTTCTATATGCGTCTGTCTTTGTATGTGAGGAACATGAAGAGCAGGAGTTGCTTCTGAAGTTAACATGCTTCTCTTGCTGGTGTACTCTTGTGTATTTGCATGCAAGCTGAATATAGCTATACTATGTGTACACTAGAGTCTTACTGCATTTAACTATTTTCAAATGTCTTTAAATTTTTGTAAAACGGTGCTTTGAATACGTGTCTCAAAGCAAAGGAAATTAATTCTGACTGTGTTTATGAACTTTTCTTGTGATTGTTTCTTTTCCAATATTTTTGATTGATTGATTTGAGAGGAGTGAGAATCTGTTTTCCACTCTTTATTGAGAAAACAAAATTGGTCGTGACTTTTGGAGCATTCAGCATCCTCAATTTAAGTCAAAGACAAGAACTGTTGGTGGTTGGGATGGCTCGCTGAAGAGCCTTTTAAAACATCCCTCCAATTTCTTCTTGATTACGGTCAGACTGAAGTGTAACATTTGTATTGTTAAAATCCAAGCCCAGCAAACAAATATTCTGTTAGGTTTGCATACATGTGTGGTTTTTATTTTATGACTGCTTCATAAACTGTTGAGTCAGGACTATTGCTTAACATGTAAGTTTTGTAATTTTCTTTCATCAGTCTATGTGCAAAGAAGCAGAAACATAGGAGAACAGTTAAATAAAGTGATTAAAATTAATCATAAAATATGCCTGCCCTAGTGATGATTAAAACCTTAATCATTACATATTACATGTCCCTGAATGCTGTAGAAAAGCAAATGTATTTTTATTACTTTGTATCCATCTTCTTCCTTCATTTAATACCAAAAATACCCACTGGTAAACAAATGTTTAGACCAGGAGGGCCTATCTTTTTTTGTGCTTCCCTTCTGAAATACAAACATTTCTTAATTTTGTTCTTCCTAGCTGTGTTTTGTGATGTTTTGGACGCCAAACGTGTCAGAGAAGATTTTAGTTGACATAATTGGAGTAGACTTCGCTTTTGCAGAACTGTGTGTTGTTCCTTTGCGCATCTTCTCCTTCTTTCCAGTTCCAGGTAAAACACAAGAAAATAAAAACTCTGTAACCTCAGAACCAAACCAGCTTTGAGGTGCGGTTATACAGTCTGTCGTGGCTGTACCTACAAGAGTGGCTAAATGCATGCTTAGCATGAGTAACATGGTTTTTATTGAAGTTAGTGTAGACCAAGACTATCTACATCAGTAGGCAAGATACAAATGTTGCAGTACAAGCAGTTTGTCATTAGGCAGATTTTTGACTGTCAAAAGTCGGAATTCTGTCTCTTGTAGCTGACCAAGAACACACACGTGAATGGCAGTAGCAATACGGGCATGCCAAGACTGACATTAACTGTTTGGAACAGCATCTAAGACCAGCTCCACAATAACATTACTTCCATTAGTCTCCCCTTCTGCTGCCAGACTCGGTGGCACTTTCAGATATTATCACAGCATGAACTATATAGAATAAAAGTTAATGCCCATATTCAACAGAGAGGCAAACCTGAGCAGAAATGAAAATGTTTTCCCTCAAAAAATTTCTAACTTCCGTAATCAAATGCTACATCATGTAGTGTTTTCTGCTTATATGACCAGACAGTTTTGTAATAAAGGTAAACTCCAACTACAAGAATAAGTACATGTCATTTGTTGTGATTAGCTGTTATACCATGTACCACACAGGAGCTAGAGGGAAAATTTTCCTTGGTGTGATTTCTATATAGGGAAGGGATATTCTTTTAATGAAGAAAACATAATGGACCATCTAATAAATTGGTTGTAAGAGAACAGCTTTCAGGAAGGTTTGCTGTATGTAACTGGCACTTTGGTTTTTCAAAAATCAGTATAATAAAGCAATTTGGACACAAGATCTACTTCATTTCTAGTAGGGATTCCCTGTGTGCAAAGTTACCAGAAACAAGTTTCACCGTGGTTATTTCTGAACAGTGCTTTCTGCATGAAAAAGCTTCATACGAGATGACTGATATTTTTTTACTACTCTCACCTCCCTTTCATCCCATCCCCTCCCCTTCCCCTGTTTATGAACAGTGACGGTCAGAGCGCACTTGACTGGTTGGCTGATGACTCTAAAGAAGACATTTGTGTTGGCACCCAGCTCAGTGCTGCGGATTATCGTCCTCATCACCAGTCTCATTGTGCTGCCTTACTTGGGGTAAATCATTCTCCTCTCCACAGAGATGATGGGTTTGCTTTCCTCTTCATTCCCGTTTCCTGTCACTTAATAGCTGAATTTGGGTGGCTCAGAACATTTTCCACAAATACTAGCCACAATATAAAGCCTAAATAGTGTCAATATCTGGAAAAGAAACATTTACAAATTTACAAGTCTGACTTTGCTCTAGACACGCATGATAGTGGTGTCCCTTTTGAAAAAAATAGGCAAATGTCAGAAAGGCAAACCTGTATGTTACAGGGCGTTTTTATCCATTCTATTAAATGCACTGTTAAGAAAGCTAATGGAAGAATACCTTGTTTATAAGTAAAATAATTTGTTCTACAGCACTCTGTAGAAGATTTTAAATTCTTAGTCCATAATTTGATTCAGAATGTGTTTCTTTTAAATAGTGAAGCCATAAAAAACCAAAAAAGCCCTTTAAAATACCAGTTATTCTTTTTCCCAGTGTATTGTATCTTTGAAGGAAATATTTCTAACAGATAATCATACATTCTCACACAACCGTGACTACTTTCTTTTTATGCTGCCCACAGAGTTCATGGAGCCACTCTTGGAGTAGGATCCCTTCTAGCTGGTTTTATAGGAGAATCCACCATGGTTGCAATAGCAGCCTGTTACGTCTATCGGAAACAGGTAAGAATTAGGCTTTGCGGGATCTGGTGAAAGCAGTTGATGAATATAGTGGATTTTAGTTCAGGTTAAGAGTACACTTTTGAAATGTAACTCCTCAGCATCCCCACTTACTGAATTTGGTTTGCTTCCCCATGCAGTCTCAACAGTGTGCAACCTGGGAATTCTTTGGGTTAAAATAAAACCAAAAGGTGCCCTCCAACTGCTAGTGGGCGTTCAGGCCATGGGACATACTTGTCTGAAGTAAACCTCTTGCTCCTTAAAGCATGTGCATGATGGATATCATGTCCTTACCACCACCTGTTTTGCTCTGTAGATCTCCTACTACAGTACAACATAGCTGCTTTATGTAGACATAGGAACTACTCATCCAAGCTTACTATACATAGATGTAGATGTAGATGTGTGTGTATATATATACATATATATATATATACACCATACTAAAGTATGGTCGCTTTTTTTTTTTTTGCTATCTAAAGTGGCTTAATACAAGATACAGCAGTAGAGGATAAGAGCTTAGAAACACTTAAACAGGCAAGGATTTCTCATATGCATACTTCTACATATTTCACACACTAGTGATAGCAAAAAAAAAAAGCAACCATACTTTAGTCCATTTTCAGCAGAGCTGGTTTTATAAAGAAATAGAAGTACACATATATATACACATATATACACCACTACTATACCAGTAGTAGTGGTACATGGATTTCAAAGAATATTCCACTAAATGAGGTCAAACACAGGATAAATATTGGCTAGGTTACTGGGTACCTTTCAGTAACCTGCGAGTTGTGCTCTTCCAGTTCTGTGTTCAAGGCACTGTCTAGGCACCAGGCGCAACTTCAAGCAGAAATGGCATGGTGTGTACATCATTCCATGACGCAGAAGGACTCTGTGGATGGTGTGGATGGGAGCAGAAAATATAATCTATGCAATTACTTTTTTTTAATTAGACTTCTTACTAAAGGCCATAGATGGCCAAAAGCGAAGATGCCCACGACTTCTATTTTTATCAAAAAAATATCCAAAATGAAATATCCAAAAGCCTTATGTTGGAACAAACTAAAACCAGTTTTGATATGTATTAACAGTGCAGACCATGGTAATAGATCAAAGTGTACAAGGTTCATAAGAAAAGAGAAGACCTTGATCTCTGTCATGATGAGTCTGTCGTGTTTTTCTTGAGCACCATAAAGTAAAGCCTGTAGACACTGGAATGGCCGTTCTTGGCCTGTGGTTTCACAACATATATCTGTTTGGACTAACGTCCTCATTGCTTGCTTGTTACTGGAGTAGCTCATAGAGCGTTTCTGGCCAGGGACATGGTGCTTAATTTTTTGCAGCGATGAGTGCAGGTAGTAGTAATAATAACCGTGCCAACCTAATTTATTCACTTGGCAGAATTAATATGTAGCTGACCACATCATCTCAACAGCCAGTGTGACAGCAGCAGAGCTAACCGGTAGCTGTATACACCAACTTGTTTTCACCTACAGTGGTAATAAGCGGGCAGCGTTTGAGAGCTGCAAATCAAGTGTTGTGTAGACACCTCTAAAATTTTGAAACTCTGATATGCCCAACTCAGCTGAATCAATAATACCTGGGGGGGGACTTTTTGTCAGCTGTACAAGTGTTTTCTGTAAAACTAGTCAGCCTGCTGAGAAACGGGTAATAAGGAACAGATGCTTCAACTTGTTTTGTAGTGGAGCTGAATGCCTCTTAGCTTTACTAATCCAGGACATCCTGGATGAATCATAGGACTCTTGAGTGCCCTCCTGCTCCTGCTAGCCAAAAATACTTTAATATTACACGACCTTGATGGGGTGGGGGCTCACAGTGGATCAGCACTATCAAGAAAAGCCAGAAAGCTCACATCTTGTAAAATTCCTGAAGTTTGACGTTTGACATTTGAGAAATGAGGTTGCCACCTCCGCCTCCCTCCCTAGAGCAGCTTATCTTCTCTCATATTTTGTTTGCTTTTCTTTTTTTTTTAGTAAAAAGTCTGTGATGTAAAAGATTCCAGATGCTCTTTTCCCTCCAGTAGTGCCGAAGCCTGTCTTGGGTGTTGCTTAGCATAAAAAATGCCTCTATTATTGCATTTATGTTAGAACGAGAAAGCTGAGCCCCAGGAGAGTTATGGAAACCTTCTAAGTTAAGACAACTTATTAGTGACAAGCCATGAATATTACACAAATATTCTAGCTCTTAATAACATACTAAAAAAAAAAAAAATATTCGCACCTTGCTTCTCCCGGTGCCCCAAGTTTATAGGACTGCGTTCATGCACGACTTACTGATAGGTTTCCAAATGCTTCTTTCAATCTAGAAAAAGAAGCGGAATGAGAATGAAGCAGCTACAGAAGGTGAAGACTCTGCAATGACCGACATGCCTCACACAGAGGAAATGACAGACATCGTAGAAATGAGAGAAGAGAATGAATAATAAATGGGATGCAATTGTTCTCTGCAGGGACGATTGGAGTGACACTTCAGCATCTTGTCGTCTCTCATACTTTTTTGTTTGTTCATTTTTATTTTTGTAATAAAGAGGCCTTGATTTAAAAGGTTTCAGATAAATTCTCTAGCATACTGGGTATGCTCTCACTGATGAGGGACCTAAAAAGAGGTCTTTGCTTTTTTTTTTTCCAATTGAATTTGTTTTCTCACTCCATGCAAACGTAAAAGATACAATTGCATCACTGTAGAGTCTTCCTTACTTATGCATCCACCTTCTCTGGACAATCTGCATTTTTCAACCAAAGCCCTGCTCTCTGTGCATGTGTGTGTGCGTGCGTGCATGCGCTTGCACACTCGCACACGCACACGCACGCGTGCCGCTGGCTCAATGCTACTGCCATAATCCTACTCCCTCCCCTCTTTCCTTTTCCTTCCTTTTCTTTATGAGAAATGTCAAGGAAAGGAAGTTTGGAATACAGAGCTTTATTTTACTTGCTTGAAAATTACTTTGCTACATAAACTAATATACTATGGTGAATATCTTTTTGTTTGGCCTCATCACTAGAGCTTATACTGCACAGGGTACAAAACAGGGAGGAACATGTAAGTCTCCACATACAACGTGGAGAAGAACAGGTTCCTCTCTCCTATTAAAAGTGTGTGGATGTGTATATATACACACACAGGTACATAAACAGAGACATACATATATATATTTATATATATATGCATACAATAAATAAAATACACACACGGGACAAGAACTCTATTTAGTTTTCATTCCATCAGAAAGATACGATAATAAACTTTTGAAAAATGTAAACATCTAATTTGGAATTTGCTTGAATCATTAAGCCCCACCTTACATATAATTTTCTTTTAGGGAAAAAAAAAACATGCACTTTCCTCTTGTGAAGAGGGTGATGGTAACTGATAGACTTTGACTGTATTTGAATTAAAAAAAATAAATATTGACAAGCTTTACCAAAGTTCTTGTCCACTGATTTAACTTTAATTTTTAAAGGTTCCTTTGCTCTATATACTTGTTTCTGGTGCCTATATATTTGAAAAAGATGAGATAACGTATGCAGGATACCACGGTATATCACATTACTACACATCGCTTCGTGGAATTTTTTATATAGAGATATACACATACTCACACACATGTGTGTATATGTATATATACTTCGAGAGGTATATATAAAAATACACACACACATATGTATGTTTTGCTATAATATATTTACCTATGCAGTAGATCGAAATCCATATGGTGAAGCTCAAGTACTGATGGTCCTCCAAGTCATTAATTAGGGACCTTGACCGTATGTTAGCTCTCAAGGCAAGAGTTGGGTGGAAGTGGGGAGCTGCTCACATCAATCGACGAGTGCTGTACTTGGAGAAGGCGGCAGGCGCAGTGCGGTCGCGGTTGAAGTGGGCCTTAAATAACAAGAGCGTGATGTCGGGTGGACGACTTGTATCGGGTGGAAGTGGACCCTGTATAAGAGGTGACCGAACCAGAGTGGGTTTGGGTGCCACCGGTGTGATGGCTGCTGCAGCAGCTCGTATTTCTGTGCTCTTCTGTGTTTGGCTGCGGGGCAGCGTTCGTTACCGGTTTGTAGTAGCTTGGGTTCTTTCAGATGTCATCATGCCAGAGTCTGGAAACCGTTATCCTCCATGCTATATCCATAAATCAGTTAATTTAAACCTTATTTAGTAAAAGTATATTTTTCTAAGTTGTGGAAATGATTATTTAATTGTGGACAAATTCCGTTTCTAGATTTATTTGCCAGGTAGTCCCAGCACTCAGAGAACTGATCAAAACGAAACATTACTTTAAAATGTTGTATCAATATATGTGTATGTAGACATACACATGTGTATAAATATATATATTGTATATTATGTACATTTATTTTAAGCTACAATACATTTCCTATTTTTCCAAGTTCAGCTAAAAATGTCTCTAAAAAACTACAGAATTGGCTAGCAACCAGTTATGGTCATCATGACAGGCATTGTATCAATGAACTTCACATTTTGTTGTAAACATTTGTACCAATCTGTTACATGTACGAATGCAATAAGAAAAAACGTAGAGACTATTGAGTGACAGATTTGCAACATCAGTTCATGGTTAATGAGCAGTGGCACTAGGAAGGTAAGACTAAATCCAGTAACCACACGTTTTCTGTGCCACCACAAGGTTGTTCTCCTCGTTTCTGACAGTAGTTTAAAAAAAAAGGTATTTTTAAAAAAACCCTCAGACAAATGAACTTTGTGCAGTATGTAGACTGTACATATTCATTAACGCAGGCTCTCAAACAGTCATATGTATATAACGTGTATATAGACTGTTACAGGTCACGGTGGCCATTTGAGGTCTTCTCTGTTCATGTAGCTTTGGTTTCTCCAGTACATTTGTATCTGAGTCCACAAAACGCAGTTTTTCAGGAACTGTAGAGATAAAGCAAGAAAATATTTTTGTGTAATATCTCTTTCAGTACGCGACTAACATTCGAACGGCAGTATTTCTGAAGAATTTTGAGCATTACCAAGTAGGTTTCAAAGTAATAATTGCACCAAAAAGTGAAAATTTGAAAACAAATTAAATGAAACACTGAAACTTTTGCTTTAGATGGAAGACGAACAAATATCAAAAACTGAATTATTGGTCATACAGAACTAAACTAATAGTATTGTAAAAGATAAGTTTTCAGCTGCGTGGGTAATACTTAATAATCCTTTACTTTGCAAGATACCAAGTGGGCGCAGGAGCGGTGGCATTTGGGCGAGAACTCGAGCAGTGACAGAAGGAGGCACGCATCGATCGCCTCGCAGGCCACCCCAGCCCCCCGGGCCGGCGCGGGTCCTTGCTGCGTGGGCAGGCAGGGTGCTCAGCGGGAAGGCGCCTGCCCCAGGAGCGCCCTGTCCCCGCCAGCCTCTGCTTCTGCTTCTGGGTGGCGTTGTCCGGAGCCTCGGTGGCCGCTTGGAACCTCACTGCTCCGACTCCCAGTCGGTGGCAAATTCGGCTGGGCTGGTGAGCAGCCGGGCTG